TGCTTGGCACCAATAGGCTAATCAAGTAGTGAGCCAATTTAAAATCGTTAGTTTCGTATTGATTGTTGGTGTTGGTTTGTTTACTAAAATGAACTATGGCAATTCACATCTTTTGCGTAGAAAATCAATTTAGCAAGGCACCTTTTGGTTCGCCTTTTGGTGCCAATTGACATACAAAGATCGGTTCGTGATTGGAAATAGAGTCAGATTTCAATATTTCCGAGGTGTTGACAGGGCAAAAATCTATACCCTGGATCACGCCGCTGTCAAAGCACCGGAGAATTTATCAATAAAACGAATTTTTGTTTATGCTAACTGGTTCAACGAAACAAATAACGAATTTAATTTGGTGGATGTGAACGAAAACAGAATTATAATTGAAAATTATGTTAAGCACGTTTTGCTCTTCGTATTTAATTATCAGAATGTATGAAAGGTGAATAAGAAATCAAAATGTATGCCTAAATTTGTTAGTTATTATTAGTATTATAAAATTTACTTTGAATGGAATATTGAGAGAATCGAAGAATTCACGCGTAACATTATAACATTAATGCAACTGCAAATGCATCTTCCATTGAATCTGTTAATTCAAGCACAAGCTAATATCATCATCTGTCAACCTGTTCTGCGAGCATAGCTTAAAATTCGAACATTTTTAATCGGAAGGGAATTGCTCGAGGAATTGCTTGAATATAAGGGAATGTAAAATTTGAAGACTCAAAGTTGAGGTTCTAATTACACATTTTGAAACTGCTATTGGGCCTTATAACGGATGTCACTTTACGTTGAAAACTTGTCATTTGTCGTCACAATTAAGTGATTCCAATTTCATTTGTACGGCAATCACGACCCTTATTATGAGTATCACTTCCTTATCACCGTATCACAGACAAACAGACATCAAATTCACCATCACATTCTTCGCAAATAAGGCTTTAGTTGGGAATATGCTTGCATTTGTCATGATGGCGCCACTGAAGCGTTAAGCAAGCCAGTATATTTTGAACTTATCAGTGATGTCAGTTTTTTTCTGCTTATATTAGTATATGTCAGCTCTTGATAATGATAAGGGAACCAAGGCATCCCACTGGAGACATATACAGTAATGACCCGATTTTGTCAGTCCCTTTTTTGAAATTATTTTCTAAAGTTCTACAAAACCCATGCACTTTTTCAGTGGTCTTATTGATGAATTTACGTTACGGTTGACCAGCAGATGGAAATGATGAGAAAAGGATAATGACGTTTTGCTACCTGTCAAATCGTATGAAATATTTTTTAGTACATCATCACTTTTGTTGTTTTGTATTTCAAACCTAGGTGTCGCATGCACTGCCCAAGTAACCACCAAGCCCGGTAACTACACGATAATCGCCCTTTTTGCGATATAAGGTAGATATAGGATTTCCGAACTTTATATCAGTCGTATAGCAGCCTTATATACCAAAATGGGCGATTAACGGGCTTGTTGGTTACTTGGGTGGTGCAGTTTTGCGTAAATTCATCAATTGGACCAAAGTATACCTTAAACACCCATCTTGAAGATGCATGAAAATGATTTGGAATTACGATTTTATGAAATTATTTAATGATCTAATTCGCGGAGGGGTTGACAAAATTGACACTACATACTAATCTAAAGAGTACAGAAAAAAATGTTGAATATTACACCAAATATATTATATTAACAATATGATCCACTCTTTCGCTTAACTGGCCAACCAAATTTTTATCGATGAAAGCACCTCTGTGGCCAAAAAGGCTACCAATGTATTTGTTTATCGTCACGAGGGGTAAACCAAATGAAAATTTGTTTAATATTTCAAATGCATGTATTTCAGCATATTATTTTATTTGATGCCCACAGTGACATGTCAGACAGATTTTAAAGTAATATACACAATGTAATTAATGAAAATAATGTGACTCTTACTTTTGTAATAAGTGTTATATTCGCACCCCTTGATTGTAATTGAATGATTGTTGCTGACCTTTTTCAACGCTAGAAGGTGCGTGCAGCAATATTTTGCTGGTCGCCATTGCAATATTTGGAAAAGCCATTCATGCCATTGTTAATATAATATATTTGCTAGCACCCTCTATCATGCACATTACGCACTCGTGACAATCGATTTTATTCTCTTTCTGTATGTTAAACATAACGTCCGTCGCATCTTGTGTGCATTATTCAACGAATACACCGCACTATATGCGACATTATGTTTAACGTACAGATCGAGAGTGAAATCGATTGTCTCGAGTGGGTTATTTCAGTTTCCAACTCTAGCGACAATAGTGACACTGTTTTTTCATTACTTAATGACATAGTTGAACACCTTGTATTTTTAAATCCAACGCAGTCAAAAAGGCAATTGCGCGCCCCTCGGGAGAATTGTCAGAACCTGATTTGAAATCGATTGAGATTGGTGAAGCAAAATCGATATTTTGAACCACCCTAATGCATTAGGTATAAGAAAATCGGGCACAAGGGCTGAGGGGATACATTTTACATAAATTTCGCGTGGCGTAATTAATCAGGTAGTGTGACACATCTAAATCTCAATACTAGCTGCTCGAAAATTAATCTACGAAAAATCTACTTTCATGTTTCGCATCAATTTGTATCATACTTCATCTTTTTGCAGGAAATCTTCATTAACCTTCTATCCGTCTATCCGTCTATCTATCTATCTATCTATCTATCTATCTATCTATCTATCTATCTATCTATCTATCTATCTATCTATCTATCTATCTATCTATCTATCTATCTATCTATCTATCTATCTATCTATCTATCTATCTATCTATCTATCTATCTATCTATCTATCTATCTATCTATCTATCTATCTATCTATCTATCTATCTATCTATCTATCTATCTATCTATCTATCTATCTATCTATCTATCTATCTATCTATCTATCTATCTATCTATCTATCTATCTATCTATCTATCTATCTATCTATCTATCTATCTATCTATCTATCTATCTATCTATCTATCTATCTATCTATCTATCTATCTATCTATCTATCTATCTATCTATCTATCTATCTATCTATCTATCTATCTATCTATCTATCTATCTATCTATCTATCTATCTATCTATCTATCTATCTATCTATCTATCTATCTATCTATCTATCTATCTATCTATCTATCTATCTATCTATCTATCTATCTATCTATCTATCTATCTATCTATCTATCTATCTATCTATCTATCTATCTATCTATCTATCTATCTATCTATCTATCTATCTATCTATCTATCTATCTATCTATCTATCTATCTATCTATCTATCTATCTATCTATCTATCTATCTATCTATCTATCTATCTATCTATCTATCTATCTATCTATCTATCTATCTATCTATCTATCTATCTATCTATCTATCTATCTATCTATCTATCTATCTATCTATCTATCTATCTATCTATCTATCTATCTATCTATCTATCTATCTATCTATCTATCTATCTATCTATCTATCTATCTATCTATCTATCTATCTATCTATCTATCTATCTATCTATCTATCTATCTATCTATCTATCTATCTATCTATCTATCTATCTATCTATCTATCTATCTATCTATCTATCTATCTATCTATCTATCTATCTATCTATCTATCTATCTATCTATCTATCTATCTATCTATCTATCTATCTATCTATCTATCTATCTATCTATCTATCTATCTATCTATCTATCTATCTATCTATCTATCTATCTATCAGAATAGGCACAGCACAGCAAAATTAAATCTTTCCTGCATCGAAGATAGTGTCATCCTCCTCGTAATTAATGCAGAATAAGTAACTTCTGCTTGTTTGGCTTTATTACGTCTCGAGTTAAGTCTCTAGTGGGACTTTACACCAGCCCTCAACTTAGTATTATTTGAGCACTTCATCAGTCGTTTTGGGTCGGACATTTTCTCGATTTCCCTGCTCTCAAGCTATCAATTATTGAGAGCTTGAGAGCAGGGAAGGCGAGAAAATGTCCAACCCGAAAGCACAGACTAACAGACATAACACATTGAATATTTCTCACTGTGAAACTTCGTCGCTAAAACATTACGTGCATCTGTTGAGTACACTGTTGTGGGCAGTAGTGTGTAAACGCCGTTAAATGCTTGTGCGATGAACAACTTGCGATAGTGTTATGTCTGTTTGTCTGTTCCGAAAGATTCCTCGACCGGAAACCGAGAATCGAACCGGCCACTTCCGGCTTGATAATATCGTACCTTTACTGACTTGGCTATCTGAGGTCCAAATTCCGGAGGCACGTGCCTTCGAAAAATTTGCATACAGAGCAAATACCACTGACACTATGCATGAGGTGTAATTTGCATTATTGTTCCCTGCACAACATTTCCCCCGTCAAGTCGGGTATGGATAACGAGTCAAAGTGCTACTTATGATATACCACCATTATTATCGGAGTCAGCAATTCTCGTGATCTCCATGAGATTCTATAGTTGTGGAGTGTGGTGACTGACTTAGGAAGGAATTTGCACGAACAACGCCAACCAGTTAGTCAGTCACTCAGTCAGTAGTGTGCTAATGTGTATGTACCTATGCAGAAGGAATGGAAAAACAATTAGAATATACATAATAATTTAACGGTTTCGCACCCGCTGTCCGCGACGGCGGTGCCCTACTCCTACTTCCCATTCAGTGCGGTAGCACCTTTGGCTCTCTGGAGTTATGTTTGTTTCGGTGAACTGTTTGTTTGCTGGTAGCTAGCTAGTAGAGAGAGTGGCCAATTTTAACGGTTTCATCGCTTGATTAGAGACTTAACAATGGATAAATGATATGCGGAGGTTCAAATGATTTAGGAATGCAAATTGGGTATAGGCAATGTTCCGTTTAATTGGAATGTGAAAATTGGTGAAAATAAAGTTAATTTTTTTGATTTTATCGAGAAAGCCAGTAGAAAGTACCTTAACTAATAATCATTAATTCAACTCTTCTGTTTCAGATTTCCGACAGCTCACACAAATCGTCCGTTTCGACCAGTGGACTCTCGAAGCCCACATCGGTCACCTTTATCAAGGTTCAGGATGCCCAACAGCAGAATGGCCACGGCGACGAAGATGACCTCGAAGATGAGGAAATCGAGGAAAGCAAGTTCTGCACACTACCACGAAGTGGCCCCAATGCATTCACCATTCGACAAGTAACGCCAGTCATGTGGTTTAGTTGACATCGGATTTCTAAAACCACATTTTTTTTATCGTTCCAGGCCCGCTTTGTCAAAGGTAATGGCGCCAAAGCGCTTGGATTTTCGATTGTAGGCGGTAAGGACTCACCGAAAGGATCCATGGGCATCTATGTCAAAACGATCTACCCGAACGGTCAGGCAGCGGAGAAGGGAAGCCTCCAGGAGGGAGACGAAATCCTCTCGGTCAACGGGAAAGCATTCCAGGGTCTGTCCCATCAGGAGGCGATCAATGTGTTCAAATCGATCAAAACTGGCGACGTTGTCATTTTGATAGGCCGGAGGAACAACCGCCGCAAGTTGGACACTCCGTCCCCGCAAGGGCGAGATTGATAAATTCGATTTGGTGTAAAAATACCTATTAGTGGAGTGTTTATTTTTACCAACCTTAAAAATAAGGATTTCTAACCACAACTGCAATTATTAGTCCTAAGAAGCCGAACAAAATTTGGAAAACAAAAGTGAAAGAAAGTGCCTAATTGACACTTTCACTTCCAAAAAAATATTAAACCGTGGCAGCTAGCTTAGCTCGAACCAAATTATGAACTCGAAAACAACTACCTATTACCATTTTGTGTGTTTCATATTCCATGTAAAACAACGTCGAACAATGTATGCAGACACAACTAGTCCATGATCCTAAATAAAATTTGAATGTTTGCACACAGTTCATCGTCGAAAGAAAATATCTATCCACATAAATAACGATTAGTTCGTATAACCATACCAAAGGATTGTCATCAAATGAATACAACACGAAGCGCGAAACAAGTGTCTTTCTGCGCATATTGAACAGATATTTTGAAAACTCAATGTTTCTTTTGTTAAATCATTTTACTCTCTATTTCCGGCACGCGCGGAATGGAATGAATGTATTATTTTTGACTTTATTTACATATATGTACCAGTAAACCCAACCATACGAATAAAAAGGAATACATACATAGAATTGAGATTTCATGAATCGAAATAGACTAAAGAAATTCCGGAGTTCAGCCATAGCGCTTGGCATACAAGTGTGGAAAACCCCTTGAAATTTTGAGATTTTGAAATACCGTGGACCCCCGGCAATCTGTCCGTTCTATAGATAGGGTAGGATGGTGCAAAACGCACCCTTTAAGCAAAATCGTCAATGGCTGGCGAATGGAAGCTAAAATCAAGAAGAAAGTAATGGCGTTTGGTTCATTACCATGTTTTCTACAAAAATCGAGTGATTTAGAACTACAAAAGGATGATTTTCCATGACTTTCAAGGTATTTTCTAAATTGCTTCCAAAATGATAGCGGGGCAAAACGCCTGATTCATGATGCAATATGCACCACAACATTGGGACAAGACGCACGACAACAATGGCCAAAACGCACCACAACATTGGGGTAAAATGCACCCCATGGTAAACAAACCATAACCCCTGCAAGTAGATAATGCAAAGGGTTGCGGTATTTCAAATGATTATTTCTTTATGTTACATCAGAAATAAGGTCTCAAAATCTCAATAGAATGTGTGATTCATCAAGTAAAATATCTAAAAAATATACGAAACGTAAATTTGTTATTTTTTTTGTGATATATGATGTTAAAAGCTTAATTTACAGTCGATGATTTTAACAACTGTGCCCTGTTTTGCACAAAATGTAATTTTTTTAAGGAATCAGCAGGTCAATACATGATTTTATGATCAAGAATTATTTGTGAAACCTCCAGTTGAAAACAATCACAAACCGTTACCCGGAAAATGCATCTGAGGAAAAGTTATCGCTGTTTTTCTAAAAGTGGGCATTTTACCCCAGGGGTGCATTATGGGCTGTTCTCCCTTACTATAGATTCCATAGATAAGCAGAGGAATAAAAAGTTGTTTTGGCAATGATCTTACTGGCATCCGTGAAAAAAGTTCATGCCATCATAGAGCTCTTCGTTGTGCAGTTTTGTTTTGTTTCGTGCGTACAAGTTCAAAATGAAGTGCAAAGCAAATCTTTGCAACAATGTATCGAGGAATGGTTTGCTTAATGTTTCCTTCTTCCGTTGTCCGCGAAATAAATCGGAATGTGGAGTGTGGAAAGCGTTTTGTGCTCATAATATTACAATATTATCTGTTTCTTTGGTAACAAAACACGCCGAAAAAGACGCAGAAATCGTCGACATAGGAATTTGTATGGCAATGATTTCTGCGTCGTTTTCGGCGTGTTTTGTTACCAAAGAAACAGATAATACTTCTCCCTCAAACAACACCATGATGACGTCATGCTCGTTTGGCTACACTAAGGCCAACAATCAATAAGAAACTAACGATTTTAAATTGGCTCATTACTTGACTAGCCTATTGGTCCCAAGCAAACGATTAACGTACCCCATTCTAGTCGAAATTCTAGTACTACGCAATGTTTGCTTTAATTCGCTATGAAAGTTTGACAGATAAAATGAGGGGTTATTGGTTTTTCCTAGAGTCGGTGTATAATGAGTCACGCCAAGAGAAAAACAGTTGAACTCGCATCACGGTTTTCGAAAGATTCCCTTTCATTTAACTTGGCAACAGAGGACTTCTACATCAACTTCAAATGACTTCTAGCGAGAAAAAATAATAACGGCTGTAGTAAATCATTAAATCAGTGATTTTGTCAAATTATCTTAACAAAAAATATTAGAAATTCTTATTACCGATCATTACCAAACGTATCCCATGTCAATTGAATGCTCTCTGCGTGTTAATTATCATTTCTTCGATTATATTTTATATTTTATTGCAATACCTTTCGTGGACCTTTCATAGCATCGTAATGTTTGTTTACTTTGCACGATAGGTAGCTGGTTTGACAGTTCGATAGGTAGACTTGGCTTCACTGTTGGCGTGACTCATTATACACAGACTCTAGTTTTTCCTATGTTTCGAGGGGTGAATCGATTAGCTTGGGACCGAAGAGAGTACCAGAGCTGAGCCAAAAAGTTGAGCACGTTATTTCGGGACCTTCTAGTCTTAGAGTTACCTCTATGGTACTACACTATGTTTGTTTTGATTCGCTATGAAAGTTTGACAGATAAAATGTGGGGTTCGTTGATTTTCTTATGTTTCGAGGGGTGAATCGATTAGCTTGGGACCGAAGAGAGTACCAGAGTTGAGCCAAAAAGATGAACACGTTTCTTCGGAACCTTCTAGTCTTAGAGTTACCTCTATGGTACTATCAACTACGATACTTTTAAATTTACCGTTAAATGCTTATTCGATGAGCAACCTGCGAGAGATATGTCTGTTTGTCTGTGGTTTGACCATTTGTCGAGTTATATTTAACTCGTGGTTAAAAGTGACATTTCGAAAGTTATTTTCTATGTTCGATCCGTGCTGTCGATCAACCGGTTTTCGACCCACGGTTGTCAAAATTTAACTTCTTGTATGTCAGAAATAACCATGCTCGGATAGCAGGGTTAATCAATAACTTTCCATCTGTCAAATTCTAACCAAAAGTTAAAAAAAAAAATCGCCAAATGGTTCAGAGTCTAACTGACAGTTCATTTGGCTACATTATACTTTTCCTCCGTTTATCTATGGAATCTATATTGATGAATCTACCGAGGGGCACGCAATAGCCTTTTTGACTGCGTTGGATTTAAAGTACAAGGTGTTTAACTATGTAATTAAGTAATTAAAAATGAAAATTAAGTATGTCATGTAATTAAAATTAATTTCGCGTAATCAAAGCAGTGCCAGTGTAATTACTGTAATTAAAACATGTAGTTCAATTTGATTACGTAATTAATGTAATTAAAAATTAATTTTCTGTAATAAATGTAATTAAAGCTACACAAATGTAATTAAAAACGTACTCAAATCCTTATTCTTGAGCTATTTAAAAAAGTTGAAGAAAACCCTTAACACATACTCGAATGAATTAATTTATTCAAAAACTCTTCTTACACCCTGAAATACGCATATTAATGTTTTACTAGACTACAAACATGACCAATTCTGCGAATACTTATACTAAATTTCTTGGAGAACCATGCTAGAGTTGGAAACTGAAATAATCCACAATCGATTTCATTTTCGTTTTGTACGTTCAACATAATGTCGTATCTAGTGCACTGTATTCGTTGAATAATGCGCTTTAATGCAGAACTAGAATAAAATCGATTGTCACGAGTGGGTTATATCGGTTTACAACTCTAGCGACAATATATAGTGAAAAGGAAGTGATACTCATAATGAGGGCCGTGATTGCCATACAAATGAAATGGGAATCTCTTAGTTGTGACGACAAGTCTTCGAATTTTACATTTCCTTAAATTCAAGCAATTCCTCGAGCAAATTTCCTCCCGATCAAAAAATGTTCGAATTTTAAGCCATGCTCGCAGCACAGTTCGACAGATGATGATATTAGCTTGTGCCTGAATTAACAGATTCAATGGAAGATGTATATGCATTTGCATTAATTTTTTGATGTTACGCGTGAATTCTTCGATTATTTCAATATTTCTTTCAAGCTTAATATTATTATACTAATAATAATTAACAGATTTAAGGCAGAGTTCATTAACAAAAAAAAAATATAATCAGGTTTTGGTTGCAGACACTAAGATGATTCAAACCAATTGTGTGCTTTTATTTGTATTATCGCCATCATATGATCACATCCGTATTCAGAATTGACGCGATAGCATTTATGAAATTCGCCTCCCCATTGTTCGTATTTCCATGGGTCAACTAAACAATACTATGGGCAGAACTCCAAACCGATAAGAAACGATGAGTCCCATGTGCACAGGACACGAAATGATCGTTACCGATCAACTTGACACACTCAAGTTATCCTTGCTGGGAAGACAATTGCATACCAGCTGCGATTTTTTCCCGGAAGTAGCGCAGCGTGTGAATGTCCAAAGTATTCACCAGCTCCAGTGAACGGACACTGTCTGGGATAGCAAATTTGAACTCTTAATATGGTCATTACCGACGGATTTTCGTAAAATAATGAAGTTTGATATGTCACACGAGGGGTTCTGGTTCTTATTGGGAGTTGGATATCTACCCGGGGGGGGGGACAATTAAATGGGGCTGTGGACTGTCTAAGACCATTATTAGCCGTGCAGAATCATGAAGTTTGAAGTTTGCCCGGGGACACAGGAACATGCCCGAGAGGGCTAGTGTGACCGTCGAGTCTCATTAAGGCCATTACCAGCCAAAGTTTGGAAAATCATGAATTTTGATATGTCGCACGATGGGTTTTTGGTTCTTGTTGAGAATTGACCACTTCTCCGGGGGAACCGGAACATGTCTGGGAGGGCTAGTGTGACCATGGACTCTCAATAAGACCATTACTGGCGAAGATTTGTAAAATCATGAAGTTTGAAATGTCGCACGATGGGTTTCGTTCTTGTTGAGAATTGGCCACTTCCCCGGGAGCACCGGAACATTCCCGGAAGGGCTAGTGTGACCATGGACTTTCAATAAGGCCATTACTGGCCAAGATTTGTAAAATCATGAAGTTTGATATGTCGCATGATGGGTTTTGGTTCTTGTTGAGAATTGGCCACTTCCCGGGGCACCGGAACATTTCCGGGATGCCCAATGTGATTGTGAACCATCGAAATAGCTGCCACTGGTCCAATTACATCGTTTGAGAGAAAAAAACATGATGTTCATCGTGTGTATACTTATTACAGAACAATAAAGCCGTATGCCGACCAAAAGTGACCCCAACGGGAACCGATATAACTCGGGAACCATGAATTGATCAAAATATTTTAAGATGTATTCATAAACTTCAATAGATTCAAGACCAAATTCAATTTGTTGTAAAGAAAAATATTGAGAAATTATGTTTTTAGAGCTAATTGATTTTTGAAATCTATGCAAATTTAGACGTTAGGCACGCAAAGGTTAACATAATTTTTGTAATTCTGGTTTCGTTCGCATCAACCAAATTAAATTCGTTATT